TCTGTGATTCTGTGATTCTGTGATTCTGTGATTCTGTGATTCTGTGAAAGGGTCAGCTCAGGTCTTCATTACTAGCGATAGATCAGTGCGGCTGATAAAGGATGAAGGTGTTTTGAAGCAAGCTGGGAAGCTCTATTTTGCATGTTTATTTAAATAATAATTAGAGTTAAGACTAGATTTTTTTTATGGTGTGTTTGCCCATGGATCCTTTTCCAAAGGGATTTTTTACAGGGTACTCTGTGATGTTCACCCTTGCTGCCTCATACAAAGGTGTACACACATTTTGGTGTCTTTTGAAAAATACTGAGTGCCCACATGACAAAAGGTGTTGTTAAAGATGCAGTAAGATGATTATTAGCTAAAACACCCAACTTCACTTCTCTAAAGAACTCTGACACTTCCTCCCTCTATATGAGCAATATGCAAAATTTAAAAGAAAAATCTCTGAGGGATCAGTGAGCCCCTATATTCTGTACTCATAATAATCCATTCAGATCAGCCATGATGCAATAAACTCTGCATTGTTTTCATGAAAGCTTGAGCACAGTCTTATTGTTAAGCTCTCCAACATCCTGTTTGCCAAGGATGCAAGTTCCTCAGAGTTCCCACCACTGGTATACTCCACAATATAACCACAGATTATTTCACATTCTGATGTAGCCACTTGAAAACATAGGCACAAACACTTGACAATAACTATGCCTCTGCTTCCAGAAAAGCAAACAGCTATTAACAGAAATTCTTCGGCCATCCTAAGAATGCAAGACATCTTCATTAACATCTCAATGACCAGAAATATGGTCAAAGAATTTACCAAAGAACACAAAACCAACAGTGGTGTATGCACTTGCAAGTAAGTCCCAGGAGAATTACAAATTCAACTAGCAAATCTTTACTGATAAAAAATATATATCTCATGCTATTGCACAATTCTGCTCTCATTTTTAATTATATAATCTGATATTTTTACTATTTTTCCTTCAGCAGACTGAAGATCGGCCTTTGTTTGCATGAATCAGTACAGATGGCTATTTTGAGGACTGGATTTTGAGACCTTTGGTTTCTGGATTTAGTTCTAATCAAAATGTAAAATAAGGATAAAGAGCCTCCCAGCCATCCAATATGATACATCTATTAACATGCTAAGAACCTTCAAACTGAATTTGGAGTTTGCCTAGCCCTTTGGTTTTTGTTGTCCAAATACAGAGTTAGGCTCTTTAAATATCTCAGTCACAGTCTAAGGCTTCAGATTTTAAACACGCCTTTCAAACTAAAGATCACAGAAGCCTTCAGAGATGCACAAGTCATTTAATCATATTTGTGCTAAAATGTTACAAATTCCATGCAGAAACTTCTTTTCAACAAAAGAAAGACAGAAACAAAACAAAGTGCCATCCTGGTCTTTAAAAGAAAGTGTGTCACTGAATAATAACAATAACCCAAAAATAGAGGGATGTCAAGTTCTGTTTATAAAGTGTGAGTTTATCACAGTAGATTCACTCTTGGAAGGACTGGAAAATGTCTCATGATACTGTAAGATAAGAACAAATCCAAATAACTGTTGTCCTTTTCTTCCACTGCAGTTGATCTCTTTAACTCTCTCAATCATATGACTTTTTTTGCCCTTACTTTCTCCAACAGTTTATTTGCCAGACCCTTCTACTGTTTGGCCCTCCACTCTCCAGGGCTGTGAGCTCTTCCACTTTGCACACGCATCTTTAATAGGGTTTCTTAGTTTTTTGTAGGCTTCACCCTCAGCAATCAAGCTATTACACAGAAACATCATTTTCCGTAAAAATGATAAAACACAGAAAAAAATCATATTTCAAAGTCCTTGTCTATTTGAATTTAATTCTCAAAGTTAGCAAAACCACTCATTAATCCTTTGTGCACTCTTAATATGAGAGTTTTGCTCCAGATGTTGCAGAAAAGAACTGGAGTCTCTATTTCCCTGCCTTTCATGGCCCTTTAGAAATGGAGCTGTTCCCACTACTCTACATTCTAACATCCATCCACCTACTCAGAAAGAAGCATTGACTGGGCATCACTACTCCATCCCTTCTCATCCTGGAATAAACCTAGAATTTATTATCCAGCACCATTTCTGCTGCAGGTACACTGACTGCCTTTAAGATGACATGGATCAGCCTTTCCATAGTTTGGGTGGTGAATTTTTGGGTATGGTTACTTGAGTCAGCTCATGTCTAGGCCTAGAAGGCTGAAGAATGTTTTCTGTATCTCATATGTTTGAAGACCACAGTAAGTATTGCTTGCAATTGCAAGTAATTTCTGGCACAGTGGTAACTGGTTGGTCTGAACCATTTTACTGTTGAAAAGGAATATGTCTGCTTCATCACTAAGGTTCTTTGGCAGGCAAGAGCTTACTTCCATTGCTCATATTGAATGCATAGGGAGGTGAAGCAGGCATATGTCTCCCTAACACTTTTCACAATACTTAGGTCCCGTGAAACATAATAGATTATTTCCAAAATATGATTTTAAAAACAAATTGTGAAAAATTTGCATTGCAAAGCTCCTCTTTCTCCCAAGGAAAACAGGATTTAGTCATTAAGGATGCTATCAAGCTGTACTGCAGATAAGAAATTTATATAAAAATATTACAGGTTGCTGGTTTCCAAACTTGCTTTTGTGCTTGAAATATACAGCATAAGCTTTGCATGCACTTGCATAGAACTTTTCAATTAAAAAAAACCTAGGTATTTTTCAGGGAATAAAATTTTCTCGTTTTTGCAATTAAAGATTATAATGTCCAGAGAGAGTAAATGGCAACATTTTTCATTCAATTCCATATTCACATAGTCAGAAATTTTACTTTCACAGCACTTCTTGGTCTAATAACACCTCAAATCAATAGCTAATCCTTTAATTCACGTGAACATTTGGTAGCACGGCAAATACTGTGAAAAGTGTTTCCTAATGAAACTTGTAAATGGAAAATCCTAGTTCCACACTTTTTAAAGCAAATAATAAAACAATGGGAAAGCTTCTCCTTCCAAAGGTATGCCTTTGAAATTTCACCCTTGCTTTTAGCTGCACACAGCTGCTCAAAGTGCCTTGTACTGAAATGTGTAGGCTATTTTGTCATTGAGGGAAAACATGAAAGCATACCCATTTGAAATCTACATCTGTAAATATATTACTATGCACAAAACAAAGTAACTGATCCTGAGTTAAAGGGCAATAACAATAACTTTTGACTGCTGATCGTGATTTTGCATTTCTGTGCTATACAGTTACATTTTTAAGTGCCTAGCACATTTACTTAACACTGTTGGTGAGCTAAACAGTGTTTTTCAAATGTCCATATAAATTAAAAAGTCCAGAAAAGTTAATAATACACAGGTGCTGCCTTCTCACATATGTTCAAGAAACATAGGTGATGAAAATATGTATTTTTCTCAGACACTAGATATCATTTTAAGGTCTGATTTCTTCCAACCCCAGAAATCAGATGGGCTGGTTCAATATTTCGATTCAATGTATGGAATCAGTCAATCACTCAGACAAAGATTCTTGAATAAAAAGTTCCACAACATTCCTTTTCTTTTGTTGCAAAAAGATAGGAAACAGGTCACCCAATCCTCTAATTCCATTTTTGTAATGAAAGAGATTCAGAATCACTGCACAGGAACTGGGAAAGGATCGTAAGCACAAGGTAAGTAAACTCAGTCTTTCTACAGCACAGTATATTAATTCCTAACAGTGGTGATTTACAGCAGATGGAATTCAGACCACACCACCAGTTGTCTTCACTATCCATATTCAGCTTTTTTCCCCTGTAATTGAAGTGATTTCTATCTTGAGATTTGTTTAATATGAAAACCACAGAAAGTAACAGCTGCAGGATCCCATAAAGATAATCTCTGACTGTGATTAGGACAAGAGTAGTATCAATGGTAAAAGTTAGATCTGAAAGAGTTAACCATAATAGTGAAAAGTCAAAAACGTTTGACTAAATGCCACCTAAGTTTAATGGACCAATCACTGTACCCAAAAACTGCTTCAGATTTTTGAAGCTAAATGGCATCCAAGTGGCTTCTCTGATTTGTTGGGATGATAGCAGAGGCACAGGAAATTAATTACAGCTTTGACACAAAAACTGTAAATTTAAATTTTAAAGGTAAATTTAATTAACTTAAATATGGGGAATTTCGTTGGCATTCGGACATATTACAAGCAGGGAAATGTGAACAACTACTGCATTTTCAGAGCTAGAATGCCTTGCTAGACATTAGTTCTCTGCCAGTAACTTAAAGTACATAGAAAATTCAATAAAATGGCAGATTAAAGTTCGACATGAAAGATGAAATCACAAGCAATGCACAATATGAAGAAAAGCCATGAACAATATGGCTAAGTTAAAGCTCCTTCAATGTTTTGACTTCTCGCTCTCTCTTGTTATCATAACCTTATGTGTTACACTTTTTGGCATGAAAGAATAGCTTATGATCACTAATAACTTTACTTCTAATCAAAATAGTTTTTATTCAATGAAGCTAAGTCTCAAAATACAATGCTTGAAATTTAACTTGTAAAATTATTCAGTTCTCAAATTATATCGTTCCCAGGGTGAAAAAACAACTAGTTATATCAGAGTTTCCCTAATTTTGTAGCAGTTTTCAAATGCAAAAATAAAACAAAGTATAGATTTTTTTCATGTTATAGTTGGAAGTTTAAAGGCTAATTTACAGCTAAAGGGGATAGGAAATAAATACTGATATGATAGAAATCAAATCAGTTTAAAGTCTTAAGGTATAACACACATGTCATCATTTACCTTTCAACACTTTGTAGAGTACATTGTGTATAGATAAAAGAAATTACATAAACATCTTAAACTTAAATTCTAACAGTTTGCAAATATTTAAATATATTGAGGGGGAAGAGAGTGAAAAGTATGTGAGGTGAACTGTGACAAAATCTATAGGAAAGGTAAAATGAAAAAAATTACACAGAGAAAAGCAGTAGAAGAGACAGACCTGAGTTTCTTCTCCTTGATGATTCCGCTTCTTCTGTGATCACACCGTGTAATGGACAGACATAGACAAAGGAGATGGGTGTGAGAGGATGTATTCAGAAGGTTAAAACTGACACTGAGGGAAAGGGCCAAAAATTGTTTGAGAGAGCAGTCTGCAGAGCAGAGTTAGTAAATGGGGGAAAAAAGAACACAGACACCAGAAGGAGAAAGAAAGCTGAGGAAGAAGTGGTTAAACTACTGTTGTTGAAAAAGAACAGTAAAGACAGGGTTAGTATAGGAGCTGAGGAAATAACAAAAGTTATAACTGACAGCAAAGTCAATCCTTGCAACGAAGCTGAAGAACAAGCTGGATAGTAAAAGGTAGGTTAACTACATAAACACTTTTGTCCATGACTGTTCAAGTTTTTGGAATGTTACCTACTAGAATGCAAGTATTGTTTTTCAGGTATTGAACATTCAGTTTAACGTCACCAATGGGAAGTCCATTAGTAGTTTTTACAATGGTTAAATTGTTGCAATTTGTGCTGAACCAAACTTCACATACCCAAAACGGAAACCAGATTTTTTTCAAAAGTATATACAAGCCCACGAATATCAGAATCCACATAACACACTCTGGAAAGGACTGCATTATTGTAATGCTCTGCCAAAGGCAATATTATCAAGACCAAAATACAGAATGTGAGAAAAACAAATGTATAGCTATTAACTCTCATGGTCAATTGAGCAGACAGATATTTTTTCAGAACCAAATGTTACTCTCATCTCACAGAAGTCTAAGTTACTGCAAATGCATGCAAGTTAAGTGCCAAAGCAACTGTCTCATTACTTAATTACTTCACATTCAAAACACACACTGCCATTTCAGACATGGAGAATATCTGAGGGACAGTGTCATTCTCTGTACAGAAAATCTACTTGTAGCAAAAGAATGGGAGGAATCAATCTTGAAAAGTAATAATAATTACATAGAACTGTGAAGCTACCATCACTAGCAAAACAAATCCGTTCTTCCAAAAATCATAAAAAGTAATTAAAAAATTATAAGCCCAGATCTAATTTCAACTTGCAGTTTGTTAATGAGTCACAAAACATTGCTCATAATTCATTAACGCTGCAGATGTTAGATTAAGAACTCCAGAAAAGTTTATACACCACAAAAAGATGCTATGATTTTATCCACATTTTACGATCAATATCAAGATATCATTAAAAAATGTGAAATAGAATAAATAATATAAATCAATAAAATGAAATGAAAGACAACACTAAATTTCATCTGATAGCCACTGTTTTCTGTAGATTAAAAAATTTATTCTACATCTGGCAGTTTATAATTTTCATCTACTATCAAAAGCCAAGACTGTACCAAAACTTTGTTGTAAACACAAGCAGCTTGTAACATATATATTTAGAAAGAAATTTTGGGCAATTAAATTTGATTACAGAAAGAACACACAGAAGTGCTATATATGAGATCTGTAATATGAAAGCATAGCAGATGACAGTTTTGACACAGGATGCTACGTATTCACAGTTTAAAAAACAAATTAATGGCATAGAAATATCTTTTTATCTGGGAAAGTACAATGAATCCATAGGATGAAATACAAATAATTGAATACAAAGTCTACTTCTCCCTGGTGTATTACAGCTTGTATTAATATAATGTTTCTATAATTGCTATAACTGTTTATTAAATAAATCATTATTACCACCACCACAACCCAGCTAAAGCACTTAAAATTTTTTGAAAATGTTTTCTTTATATATCAATAGCCCTGAAAAGAGCACTCCTACTACTTCAAAACCAGTTACTAGAAAGTCTCTATCATGACCCCCTTATACTTCATTTATTATTTTTAATATCCATAAAGATGCATGGCATTGAGATGTATACTGCATGAAGATAAATATTTCTTAAGAAAATTTCAAAGGATGTTTGGAATCACATTGTTTCCAAATTAGGAATGTGCCTAGTAAGGTAATGCAAGGCATTCTAGTAGTGTCAGTGGAGCTCAGCACCAACACAGCTGAACACCAGGGAAGATCCCTTTGATGATTTCGGAGCCAAATGACCAGCATTTGGCTGCATATCAGTCACATGTATCAATATTTTTTAAAAACTGCTTTTTAAAAACTCATCATGCAAAGTATTATTTTTTTAATGTTTACATGTAAAAGTGGCAAAAAAAATTAATTACAAATATTTTTCAGTTTTAGGTTTTTACTGATCAAATATATTAGAACAATAATACTAACAGAAGACAGAGACAAAAATAAAAGATAAGTATCTTCTCACTGTGGATACCTGTTCAGCTGATATCTCTTGAGGTAAATGGCTTACAGTTTTTTTGTATTAATTGTTATAAATATTAATAAATTAGTAGAAGTTGTTGTATGGTAATGCACCAACCTCTTTCAATTAACGATGATAAGCAGGAAGTACTAATAGATTGATTAATTTAGACACAATAGCACTTCATATGAATCAATCTCCTCCTGATTAAGAAGCCATGCTCTAAAACCCAAATAGTAATTTGAAGATTCTCTGGCTGTGTAGCTTGTAATCCACTAAAATAGATCTTTTTTGATAGAAATACACTAAAATCTGAGAACAAAATCATGGAATAAAATTCTACCAAATTTACATCATGTCAGTAGGTGGTCTTCATTTGCATAGTTATTGCTTTCTTAGGGAACTAGTATTTATTTAGATCAATTGTTCGTATTGATGTAGGAGAGTGGTAAGTAAAAGTGTATTATACACAGATTTAGAAACAAATGAGACTCTCAATGAATATACTTATGAAGTAAATGAAAACCAGGTATTGTTCTGCAAGTCTGAATAAAATAAAATAAGTATCATCTATTTTATCGTGCTTTGATACAGAACTTTTCATTGTAAGTAATGTCACTTATTAAAGAGAAGTATTTAGGAACTTAGGGTTCAAAAAATCATGTTTGAAAACTTGCAGAGCAAACACGTCCATCTAACATTCTAAAAGCAGCATAGGACAAAGAGATGTAAGTTAGTTACTCTTTTTTTCCTCAAGGCTTGTCTTAATTTCAGTTATCTCTTCTAAAAATAAAGATCTTTCACTGCATACATGGTCTCAGAAATTTCTGTGACTTCCAGATATACAAAGCCTTATTTCTGGACATTCTTCACAAAATAAGATGTGCAATAGCACAATCAAATAGGCATAATCTTAAACCATGGAGGAGACTTTAAGATAGAAATGTTCCATGGAGTCTGTTTATATATTTATATATAAATATGTGTCATTAGTCTGGATGTGATTAAACCTGAATAATGATATAATGCATCTAACTCTCAGGAAAGATATTCCGTGACACCATTCAAACTCTGTTGTGCTAAGGACACAGATAAAAAAGGAAGAGTAGACAGCAGGATAGTTAAGAGTAGAAATATTTGTTAAAAGATTTAGAGTGAATGTCCATTTGACTACATTGAGGTGTGAATAAAATCAGTTTTCTTTATTAGTCTTTAACAGCTTTAAACCACATCTTCCAGTTACCCTTCCTGTAGATACAAAGCTTGTTCCACAGTTCTGACTTTTTTTAAATGAGGTAATTCCCTACTCCTTAAAGGTGAGTTATTTATCTTAAAGTGTAAATCTATACACAGAAAATCACAGCTGTATACCACAGAGATGCTGACATTTTTCCTCAAAAATATGAGCAAAGGACTAACTAGGATAAAGAAAATACAGGGAAGACAGAAGCAATACATTTCATTTTGCAATTACATAATATATGGTATATATAATATATGCTAGGTAAAGACAGTAAGAATATGGAAAATGTGGGTTATTCCTACTCAAAGATAAGGATAATAGAGATGAAGGTAGAAGACAACATACAAGAAGAAATATTCTTAGTAACATGAACTCTATAAATCAAAACAAACCATGTAGACTGCATTACTTTTTCACAAGTCCCAAGAGATAAACTAAATGAGGAGTTCAGAGAGAGTGCTTTTATGATTTTGTTTCTCTGGATAAAGTTTGCATTATAATTTTATACAGGGAAAAAAGACAAAATAGTAACATTTCAAAATAATAATGCACTATAGTAACACATTGGATTTGAAATATCATAAATCCTGAAAAGATCACAAATCTTACTAATGAGTCAGGTGATTTAGGTAGTCAAACATCAATACTACTTCAGAAAAGATACCTAACAGCCTAGATACAAATACACCCTCTATTGTCAATAAAGTATAGATGAACTATTCTAAATCAGGTATCTCCCTATTCTAAATCTATTCTCACCCCAGTGATGTCAGAAAGTTTCACCACCTGCAGAATCAGGTTGTCCAGGACATCACATTATTAAGACTGTAAGAACAGTTTCTAAAACACAAAAAAGCAGTAAAAGGGTATATGCAGAAAGGTATGTGTTTTGTTAGACATTTTCAGGCCACCTCACTGCTTGTGATCCGTCGTAAATTACAGTTATACCCCGATTGCATGCAGTTTGGCTAGGACACTGAAGTGCAATGTCTGACTACATCTGTGCCCTAGTCACACTAGGATTGCAGTTCCCATCCACGGAGTCCCCTTGTCTCTCTTAAATCCAATTCTTTGTTGCTTTGGTACAGACTAGGCATATTCTCTTTTGAAGTGGTATTGGAAAAAATGAAAGCAAGCTTTAAAAAAAGCAAATATCTTAAAGGACTATCTGTTTTAAATACACCATTTATTAATTGTAAGAAGTGTCTCTGGAAAGTGGGCAAACACTCATTTTCCTCAAGAAAACAGTTAGTCATGCCATATATTCAATCTACATTACTTCCCACTTTTCACAGGTTAAATGATCCTCATGGATTTAACATGTGGCTTTTTTTTGTAAATTTTACCCACTTCAATGCTTTTCATATCCTGTGGCACCTTCATAAAATCCTTTTCTGTACCTTCTTCCCAGGCCTCATGACAGCAAATTGAAACTTGCGCCAGGGCCATGGACTTTTTCTTCTTCCCTTTCCCAATCTGTTTCTTTTGGAAACTGTTCTAC